TCTGCCCAGGCTCATTTTAAATCTCAACCCTCTGGATCATAGCCCCCTCCACCGCCAGTAGCTAGGATTACAGGCATGAAACACTGGCACCAGACTTATCATACTTCTTAAATGTGAGCATATTCTGGCAATTATTGATTTATTGTAAGACCCTGAAAGACTTTTGCAGTATGAAAAAAGTAACAAAAATAGTTTTAAAACACACTATTGGATAAATTTCAAAAATTATAAAGCATTTTTATGACTGTAAAGATGGAATACCTGATAAGAGAGATAGGTGCTCCATCCAATTTGGAACTGGTATGACTTCTTATGTTTAAAAAACATAATCCTAGGGCAGGGAAGGTGGCTCAGTAGTAAAGCGATTGCCTTGCATGCATGAGGCCCTGGTTCGATTCCTCAGCACCACATAAGCAAAAAGAAAAAAGCCGGAAGTGGCACAGTGGTTCAAGTTGTAGAGCACTAGCCTTGAGCTGAAGAACTGAGGGACAGTGCCCAGGCACAGAGTTCAGGCCCACGACCGGACCCAAAAAAAAAATAATAATAATAATCCTAGCTATTTGAAAGACTAGGTTGTTGGGATTTCAGTTCAATGCCAATCCCTGCAGAAAAAAAGTTCTCCAGATGCACCTTCTCAATGAAGAGCTGACTATGTGTCTGTTATCCTAACTATGGGGAAGCCTAATATAGCAGGATCACTCCCAGGCAGGAATTGAGACTCTATAACAAAAATAAGGAACACAGGTATAGCTCCATAGGAAAAGCACCTACTTAGCAAGCTGGAGGACCAGATTTCAAGCTCTAGTACTGCCAAGAACAACAACAACAAAAAGTTTAAATAAAATTCATAAGGTCTAGGAAAAACAAGAAAGACTGAGGTCAACTGCTCACAATTCTCTAGACTTTACATTTCATGATGAATACACCTGCCAAATATGTACAGTCTTTTTATTTAAAAATTTTTGAGACAGGATCTTAAAAAAGGTGGGCCTTGAACTCATTACAAAGCATCACTGTTTCTGAGCATTCTTTCCTTTTTCTTTTACATTATTTACCCTCCTCTCTCAGTTGATACATTCAATGGAATTTCAAATATGCAGAAGCCACTTCCATGGAAAACAACCACCTAACAGCAATAAAAGCCTTCTATGCAATATTCTACTATGGCATTAGTCTTTCTTGTCTTTCACAATCTTTTTAAGAGTGACGATTTTCACTTTCTACTGATTTTTTTACTCACTTCTAATTTGTTTTCACCTTTATTGTTGTACTAAATAATTTAATGCTTATTGAATGACAAAATAATAAATATATAAAGAAATTAACTCTTTGTTCATTATATAAACATCAAGAATGATTTCTTAGTCTATCAGTTTTGGTTTCGAGTTTCTTATAGTGATATTTGATGTACAGACTTAAAATAACTTTTATCACTCATTCTACTCTTTTCTGTATGGTTGTAGGGTTTGTGGCCTAGTTCAAAAGTTCATTTCCTTTCTGAGACTAAAATTATGATTTGGTAATCTTTCTGATGTAAAGAATTTTGTCCTGAAGATTTCCCATATATTACATTTGTGATTGTGTCTCTTTGGTGAAAAGGAAAAGGAGAAGGTTGGGGAAAATGGTAAGGAAGGATGACATGTCCATTCAGTATATATAAATTCTTTTTTTAAATTTTAATTAATAAGTTTTTTATTGTGAAAATACCATACAGAGGGGTTACAATTACATGAGCAAGGTAATGAGTACATTTCTTATCAAGCATTGTAGCCTCCTCCTTTGTTTCCCCTTCCATCCCTGCCCTCCCATCTACCCCCCCAATCCCCCCCAAAGTTGTAAAGTTTGTTTTTCAACATAAAGTCTTGTCCATCTCATTGTTTCAATGAATCCACCTGTATCCCTATTTAAACAATTTGTTTTCTCCCTTCCCCTCCCCAAACTATATCAACATCAAATACAGTGAAAACAGGGATTATACTGTGGGGGAAGGACATACAAAGCAACAAAGAAATCATCTTATAATATGCTAGAAACAATAGCAAGAAAGAAAACCATTTGAGTCCTTATCTTGGGGTTCATTTCGCCTAACATCAACTTATCTGACCATTCAGTATATATAAATTTTTATAGGTTAGACTAGACATCTACTGTTCTATGGCTTTTGTTGTGAATCTTTTTAATATCTCCCAATCGTTTCTGTTCAAATACTCAAATAAATATAAAAATATAATAGATGTCAAAGAAGTTTAAAAACTAATATAAAAACAGCATTCTATAGTAGCATTATGTTATATATTGGATATGATTGCTAAGTAATCTTCTCCTACCGTGGTTTCTTGATGAGTAATCAGGAAAAGAGATCCAGGATATATTTCTCCAAATAAAAAAACAAAAGCAGAAACAGAAACAAACAACAACATAACCCCCTTATCAAATAAGGCCCCCTTGTGGTAGGTTAATGACACTGTATATATACATATGTATATATACACACACATATGGAAAAAATGATTGTCTTAAACAAAATTTTGTTAAGCCAGTACCATGTGTAAATTGAATCCCATTGAAAGTATGAGTAATAACATTATTGACATTATTATCTAATCATTTAAGACTGAATTTCACTGAGTTATCAGTCATGAACAGTACTAATAAGAAAAAATGCACTTGACAGTGGAAAATCAAGAAGATAAAAATTTCTCTTTTTAACGTGACCACTTACTTTTGTTTTCTTGATTAATGCTTCAGAAATATGTGCATTCTCCCTAAGAGCTCATGAAATATGGGTGTCTAGGAGGGAGGGTTGTGTGTGTGTGTGTGTATTGGTTGGTTGGTTGTGAGGCCTGAGTGCTGTCCCTGAGCTCTTTTTGTTCAAGGTTAGCACTCTGCCACTCTACCATAGAGCCACTTCCAGTTTGGGGGTAGAAAAGAGTCTCGTGGACTTTCCTGCCTGGGTTGGCTTCAAATTGCAATCCTCAGATCTCATCATCCTGAGTAGTTAGGATTACATGTGTCAGCTACTGTGCACCAAGCTGGAGGCTTTTTTAAAATAGCTTTTTGAGACAAGGTCTAAGCATGTAGCCAAGGGTAGCCTTGAACATCTTATCCTTCAATTTGGGTCTTCTGAGTGTTGGAATCACAAGTATGTACCGCCCTGACTCTAGCAATATTTCCCAAGAATTTTCTTAATAACTAACAGCTTTTTACTACCCATGTAGTTTAATCTGTAGTTAAAACCTAACAGCAATGTCAGTTTGAGAAGTGATTGTTATTGCCAGTGTAAATATTTTGCTGTAACAACTTGCGTAGCCTTGCTATTTCCTGATGACTACTTTTGAATTCACCCTCGTCGGGCTAGAGTCAAGCTATGGTGTAGCTCTTGGGAGGGAAAGGTTTCTTATAACATCTATGTCCTAGCAAAGCAGGCAAGAAATATTTGAGAATAAGTGTAATGATAACTATATATACCTGTATTTGGAGAGCATTTTTATTAATATGAAAGATAACATTTCCAATGTCTAAATTACCTTATCATAATAATGTGACTGTATTTATTGTTGTGACAGCAATCTATTTATAAATATATAAATATATACTTTTTCTACATAGAGTTTTATTTCACCACACCATTATTAGACTTAGTAGCTATAAGAGATGAATCTTGGTAACTCAATTTTATTAAACCAAATTGCGCATTAAAAAATTCAACATAGGCTTCCATACATCCTGGATTAGTGTGGACAATATGTAAGCACAGAAAGACCTACGTTAAACTCCAGTATTAAGGGAAACTTCAAAATCAGGTGTGGAAGCTATGTGGATTCTGGAGCCACTAAAACTGCTAAAGCTCACTAAAACTAACACCAAATATAGCCTCAAATTAAACTTAAGGACATTTGTTGAGAGGGTAGTACATCTCATCGGGGTAGCAGCCATTAAGGATTTCCCTGTCATGTCTGAGGGGCGGGGGGGTGTTGGGTGTTTTTATAGTGGTCTTATCTTCTTATCTTCATTCTTACCTACCCCACTCCGTCCTTCCTCCTTTCTCTTTCTCCCTCTCTTCATCTCCCTCCCTCCTAGAGAGGGATAGAGCCTATGGTTTTGGAGGAGAGGAGCAGCAGTCTCAGGGACGCTAGAGGGTCTCCAGAGGACGCGGTTAGAACAGACAGCAGGTGGAGAAGCCCTGCACAGTGCGTGTTTTCTCCACACGTGGGTCGGGGTGGGCTGCAGGCCTCCGAGCCAACAGCTCAAGCCAAGGCCGGCCCCACGGCCAAGCCTCACATCTTCTCCCACCCCGAGTTCGAGGTCACACTCGGGGCTCCCCGAGAAGACTACACCCACGGTGCGCTTACCCGGGCAGTCCGTCCCGGATGCACGCCACGCTGCAGCAGAGGTGTGAACCACGTGGCTCGGAAGGTGGAGGACCCTCCCACCACAGGCCCAAAGGAGGGTGTTCCACAGACAGGTCCGGGTGCCTCGGTTTTCTCCGGCCTGAGGAGGGCGACAGGGCCAAGGGAATCGCTTTTCCTCCCTCGGTGGGGAGCAGGCCCCGGGTGGGATGGGAGCGCTGAGGCATTCTCTCCACTAAAGGTATGGAGGCCACAAGATTAGCCATTTAGTCTCCTGAGAAGGAGAGGTAAATTGTCTCCCACGCACGGAGGCCCTGCTTCCCACAATGCCGCGCAAAGAGCAACTCCATTTCCCTGCGTGTGGACTGGCGGCGGCACGCGAGGTACGAGCGCGAGCCCGAGCCCGGCTTCGTGACAGCTACCCACGCGCCAGGGCGGGGCTTGAGTACGTTGTCTTCAAAGTCGGCCCCGCCCCCTACGCGCTACGATTGGTTCCGGCTGGTGCAGCGTGGCTCTGATAGGTCTCCTGGAGGGCGTGGCTGCGTGCGCCAGCGTCCGAGCCTCACCTCGGTGACCCCCAGCCGAGAATGTGTGCGGACTAAGTGCGGCGGGTTTTCTTGTTGGGGTGGGCTCGGTGGGCGGCGACGCCAGCGGCCCAGGTTCCTGGGGAAGTAGAGAGGCGCCGGACACCGACCCACACGCCCCGTTCGGCGGCCGGCGGAGGCGCGCGGGAGGGTGGAGGTGGTGCGTGCTTGTGTGTGCGCGCGCACACGTGTGTGTGGTGCGCGCGCGCGCTTGTGGAGCCCGGGTGCAGAGCGCGAGCCTTCGAGTCCCCGGGTGCGAATCCCCCGCAGGCTTCCACGCCCTGCCCGCTTCCCGGCTCCTTCCCTCACGTCCCTCTCCGCACCCCGGCGGCCGCGTCTTCAGCCAGGGCCTGAGGATCCCGGAGCAGGGAGTGTGCGGGACCTCGCAGACAAAGGGGGCGCAGGGGTGAGCTCGCCATGGCCTCCCGGGGTCTGGGGGGCCTGGGCGGGGGCCGCGGCGGCAGCGGCGGCAAGAAGAGCCTGAGCGCCCGCAACGCGGCGGTGGAACGGAGGAACCTGATCACGGTGTGCAGGTACGGCGGTCCGGGCGGCGGCGGGGAGAGCGGCCGGCGCCGGGGCTGCGGGCGCCCGCGGCGTGTGCAGCGCCCCAGGCGCGGCCGGCCACGGCCCGGCGCCCCGGGAGCGGGGGCCGCGTCCGGGCACCGCGTCTGGAAGCCGCGCGGGCCCCGCGGACTTCGCCTGGGGTCGAGCGCCGCCGGCAGCTCGTGAGGAGCACTTGGGGCGGAGCCGGGGAGGGTTTGTTTTGATGTGCGCTGTAGTTGTCGGAGTTAAAGGGGAGGGCCAGGGGGGGGGGGGGGGAAGAGCTTTCACCCGGCGCTCACGGAGCTGTCAGCCCGCTTCCGACGAGATTGTTAACTGTGACTGCTCACTCCGAGCCCCACCCCCCACCCCGCCCCAGACACAGATTTTGCTCTCCTGGATTGCCCACAAACATCTTCACTGCTTTCATTGTACAGATGCTGAGTACCTGCCGCCACACGCCAGCCATTGCATGTGTAAGATCCCAAAACTACGGGGTTGGTGTGGTTGTGCTCTAGCAGACCAGTGGGACCGAGGCAGATAACCTAGTCTTCGTGCCATTGATTTATTCCAAGGGCTGCCTTTCCTCAAAGGTTTTCTAGTCACAAAAGTAGTTTTCCCTTTCTGAAAAGCCTAATCCCCGGAGAAACTGATTATTAATATGCTAATATGTTTTCGTTAAGGCATATATTAATATATTTTTAAAAGATATAATTCTAGGCATCTGCTTCTTAGGGATTTCCCTGAACCATTTATATAAATATATATGCATTACATTACTTTATCAAATCCCGTTATCATCAGCCAGAAACAATCTTCTAAGAATCAGGTAGTGATGGATTTTTTTCTTCTTTTTTTTTTTTGTGGTGTGTGTGTGTGTGTGTGTGTGTGTGTGTGTGTGTGTCTGTGTCTGTGTGTGTCTGTGCACGCACTGGGGCTTGAGCTTAGGGCTTCACAGGCATGAGCCACTATGGCCCAGCCTGAGGGTATCATATAAACTAGGTTTTTGTAGTGGATGTTATATTTTTAAAATTGAATGGCTTTTAAAAATTGAATTACAAATATACACCTGTCTGGCAGTAAAACTTGCCCCACTGACATTTTTGACACTTTCAATTGTAAATGGTAAAATAAAATGGAGTCTGTTTAATTTATCGTTTGTACTGTACAGGATGCATCCTTTAGGGGATATGGGCTTTATTAAATTATTTTAAATTGAGAGAGGTATTTTTTAAAGTTAGGCAAGACAATAAGGATAGTAATTTTTACCTTTATTTTACAGATATTAAAAATAATTGACTTTTACAAATTATGTGGATAATACTAAAGCAGTTTCTGGTAGAGTGCTAACCTTGAGCTGAAGAGCTGAGGGACAGCACCCAGGCCCAGAGTTCAGGCCCCACGACCGGACCAAAAAAAAAAAACAACAACAACAACAACAAAAAAAACTAAAGCAATTTCCTACATATACCTTGCTTCTCAAGGTAATAGATTTCATAAAAGATCCAAACAAGGGAAGTGATCTCATCTACTTACTGCCTAATCTTTCTTTATTCTTAGTGTAATATTTCACAGCAGGTAAATATTTACTGTATAAATTCAGTGATGAGTACTGTTTCTTTTGCTTCTCCATTTTTGACTCAGCTAGTTTACTAGATCGTTTCCTCATTGGAGGTGATTAAAGAAAAGACAAGGTTTTGTATTTCAGAATTGTATTGCAAATTCATTTTAAGTTATGGACAGTTATCTGGGTTTTCTTTTAATTATTTTATTTGCATAATATCTTTCCTGTGAAATAATAAAATTGCTGATTTCAGTTATAATTTACATATGGTATATGTCAATATCTTTATTGAGATCTCAATCTTTACAATTATTTAGATAATATTATTGAAGCTATTCTCCATGTCTAAGTAGTTGATGGTACATATCAATTAATATCCATATCTAGTAGTAGGGTCTAATATATATTTACTATTGAATGACTTTTAGGTGGAGAGGAGTTGTAGGTCACTTGTATGCTTTAAGTAATCTGCAAATTCAGCAAAAATGAACAAAGTGTTATTTATCAATTTAGGCTGATTACTTTTCAGAGTTACCAAACTGAGTATTTCTTCCATATCACTTAATGAATTTGCTGTTTACTTTCATATCTCAAATCAGAGATGTTGATTATATAAATCAAAGTGGATATATATAGTATATATTCTAGAGGAAATATAACTGGATTCAAAGTTGTCAGTGCCATTAGCTAGTGTTCCCTTAACAAGCCATGTTTCACCTACATAGTTTCTAGTTCTGCCATCAGTAAAATAATGGGCTAGAACTTTGGTAATTTTCAGTGATCACCCTCTTAATAATCATTCTTATGCAAAATGTGTTCATATTTGGTTTTAAGTTTTTCCAAATATGAACAGGGTAACTGTGATATCTATGGTTATAGCAACTAAATGAGGCATATACACTTTTCTGTAAACAAAATATTTCATACTGTGTCTTTCATTTTGCAATTACCTACTGATCCCCTGGGAAAACTAAAGTGTATAAAGCCAATACAAACAAACAAAAATCTATTATCACACATATCATTCTAGTGTATCTATACACTTACATAGTAATGTATTTTTCTTTGTCAAACACTTTTAGGCATAGTCTCAATTTTGGTTTAAAGGTATAAGTACATAATTTTTTAGGTTTTTAACAAAGCCTTATACAAGTACAATGTTGCTATTGTTTTGAATTTTGGAAGTGATCTTTTTGGTTAGATAATCAAGAAAAGAACTGAATTGAATTTTAGTTTACTCTTTTCCAGTGAACATTTATGTATTATAAATAAAAATGATTTATATTATACTTATTTCAGCAGTATAAGAGAGATAATAGGCCACTTAAGAGTTCTAAATTTCACACAGCTCCAAAATATTCACAAACTGACTTTGGCTGTATGCATTAACTTGTATTTTTTTTCTGTACATGTCTTGTATCACTTAGAAATTTGAAAATTTAAATTATTATTTTTAAGTTTAACAATCATTTTTTATTCACAGAAAATAAATGTTAGTTATTTTTCATATCCGTTTAAGCCATAAAAGTCTATGAAACTTTTATCTCTAGTTAATCACCAAAAAGATGGAAGTGGAGATGTGGTTCAAGTGGTAGAGTGCCAGCTTTAAGGAAAAAAGTTAAGGGACAGTGCCTAGGCCCTGAGCAAACACTTAAGTACTGGAGAAGGAAGGAAGGAAGGGAGGGAGGGAAGGAGGGAGGGAGGGAGGGAGGGAAGAAAAGCAAGAAAAGGAAGAAAAGAAGGAGAGAAAAGGAGAGAACTGAAAAAAGGAAAAAGGAAGGAGTATGTAGAAACATTTATTAGTTATGTGGAGATAGTCTATGAATATGTGCATTATACAATGGAAATCCATGGAGACTAGAAATATAGAGAGCTTTTTATTAAATGGCCCCATAAGACAAGGTGCTTGAAGTTCTTAGTTTTTGCATTCTTCTTTTTCTTCCTACCAAGTTAGCTGTTATTTCTTTTGACTCCACCTGTTTCTAACAGCTCTTTTCTTTTTGCACTTTCCATCTTGACTTGCTGATTTATTATTATTGTGAGCTAGGAAAGTCGCAATAACTAAGCTTAGGAATTAAAAAAAATGAGAAAATCCTAGGCCCAAGTTAAGTGAGAACTTTAATGATCTTAAAATTTTATTGCTGAGGGGCTGGGGGTTTAGCCCAGCGGAAGGGCGCCCGCCTGGCGCGCGCAAGGCCGTGGGTTCGGTTCTCAGCCCTGGTTTAAAAAAAAAAAAAATTTTATTGCTGAATAATCAGAAAATTTTTCTGCTGCTGTGATTGAACTTAGTAAGAGAAATGCACACCTTACTGAATATCATTGGTAGTATATTCCTTTAAAAAATTTTAAATTCAGTGACTCAGTTTTGTTACTACTTGATTGAGTATGCCTTATAAGACTGTTCATACCTTGATTGTTAAGATTATTATACTTTCGACTAAAGTTGTTTTAGCAGTAGAACTAGACTTTTAGCAACATTAGTCATATTGTCTTAAAATTCAGTATTATCCCTAAGGATACTGCCCAGCCAGTAGATGTTCAAAACTGAGAGATACTTTTATCACCTACTGGTACTATATAGACATTTCAACATTACAAAATGCCATTATCATTTATTCAAAATTAAAATCCACTTATAAAAGCTTGGCATCAAAAGCTTCCAACCTCCTTCTGATGTCAATTGATTAACTATTAATTCCATAAAGAAATCTTCCTTGCCTACTGCTTACGAAATTAATGAATATTCTCTTTATATGCTACACTCTCTGAATTGGTTACAACAAGAAGAAATTAATGTTGATGGTTAAAAAAATTGCTTCCCAGCTAATCTAGGTTCAGGACAAGTGTCAACAGAAAAGAGCTATCTCTCAGGTATTTCCTAAAGGATATTTGTTTTGAATGTAGCTTGATAAATATTAAAAGTATACTTGAAATATTCATCTAGTCTTCTATTTACTCTTAAAGATTTATAAAGTACTTTTTTTTTTTTTATTAGTACAAAGTACTATATAGCTTCTGAGTATGCAGGCTATGTTGTTCTATACTCTTCTCTCTTTGGTGGCTTTTATACAATTATGCAATGGTAACATTCCATTAATGTAAATTAGAATCATCATAACAAGCAATCACAGAATATATTAACCGAAATTTATTTACATCTACTGGATGCATGGATATTTAACTAACACTTTACTTTTTCTTGTGTAGCTGTGACAAATTTTAGTGTTAAATCTGTGGCCAATTGCTAAAAGAGTGTAGAACATCATAGTAATGCATTCTTATCCTTAGCCCTATCATGTTCTATACTTTTAATATAAATATTGACTTGTGACACTTATTCAGAAAAATAGAAATAGAATAAACATACTGTTCACTCTGTTTATTCCAAAGCATTAAAAATTGTTTCCTGTTTTTTTCTAAAGCTGCTTT